GCCTTACACCCCTCTCTAAGTGGTTTACAGAGTCAGCATTTTGCCCCCAACAATCTGGGTCATTTTACCCACCTCGGAAGGATGGAAGGCTGAGTCAACCTTGAGCCTAGTGAGATTTGAACTGCCAAATTGCAATGCTCTGGAGTGGGGAGGGAATGGGGATTTTGCAGTATCCTTCCCCTGCAACACCCACCAAGTCATGCCACACCCACAGAACCGATAGTACATTTTTTTGAACCTAGTGAAAGTGGGGGGGGGCAGGGGGGAATATTGCAAGTGGGAGAGGGCAAAGGTCTTGAACTTTACTCCTACCACATGGACCTCTCCCACTCGCCACGTGGTCTTCTCCCAACAGCCAAATCCTCCCCCTCGCCGTTCCTTCTTCAGCTGTTGGAAGAAGCCTTTGCAGCGCATGCTCCCTTCTCTCTGACAGCTGCCTGGTTTCCAATGGGAGGAAGGGAAGAAGTCCATCCGTTTTTCCTCCCTAATGCATGCATTTCTCCCCCTCCCATTGGAAACTTAGATGGCTGTCAAAGAGAAGGGAGTGTGTGTTGCATGGGCTTCTCCGAACATCCGAATCCTCTCCTCCTATTACTTCTTCGGCTGTTGGAAGAAGCCCATGCAGCACACACACCCTTCTCTTTGACAGCCGTCTGGCTTCCAATGGGGGGGGGGGGAGAGAAATCCATGTGTTTTTCCTCCCTCTCTAACGCATGAATTTCTCCCCCCTCATTGGAAATCAGGTGGCTGATAAAGAGAAGGAAGTGTGTGCCACATGGCCTTCTCCCAAACGCCAAATCCTCCACTCCACCAAAGGAAGTGGGTGAGCAGTGCGATCGAGCAGTGACTGGGCAAGTGGGGGTAGCGAGCGGGAGGGGGCAGGCCAGGGGAGGGAGTGTTCCGGTATGGGGCCTCCGGAGCACCCGGTACGTAAATGCACGCCGGATTTCTGGATCTGGCACACGTGTACCGGACCGGACCTTCTGAAACCCACCTCTGCTCCACAAGAAAAAAGCTTGGGGGCTGAGTTTCACACTCCTTCAAGCTTCTCGGTGCCAAAAACTTTTGCAAAGGAGTGCAAGATCTCCTCCAAATTCTTTTGTTCACTTGCAGAAGGTTCCGGTGTGAAGAAGTGAAGTGTTTGGAGGTGCGGTCTTGCGCTTTAGACGCAACGAAGCTGCTTGACGCTTCAAAAGTGGATCAGGTGACCCGCGCAGGCAGCCTTGGTGAGTCAGCAAAGCTGAGCATGGTGTCCTTGTCCCACTCAGCCTCTGCTCTCATGTCTCCGTCTTTGGAGCACTGGGAACAGGCAGTTTGGTGGCTCGGCTGGACAGGGGAGAGGGGAATTGGGCCGCATAAGTGGCAGGCTGGCATGCAGGTGCATAACTCCACTTACGTGCAAGAGAAGAGAGCCCCCTCACAGAGCCTGATTTCAAATAGCCACGGCCCAGTAGTATACACAGACAGAGAAAAACAACATAATTATTGGGTTGTCCTCCTACCATTTGTTTCAATCTTGAACCTATGACTAATTCTGGTCAGGTCTTTGGTTTGCAAAGGCTATGTAGATAAGAATGTTTTCCATTTTTAGTAATATGGAGGTACTATAACAGTGTAGGGGGGAAAAAGGCTTCAAAGCTTCCATTCAGATGAAAAGGAAGTTGTGCACAGAAACTTGAAATAATGGAGAATATACAACTGTTTCAAAAATCTACTTTTATTCTTGATTTGTGTGAAGCTCTTATTCAGAAGAAATATAAAAGTCCTGTACAAATAGAACTACAAAAATATGATTTCAATTAAGTTAGGTTAAGATTATCATTATTTTCAAACTTTGAAATCCTGTAATGTTTCTCTTTGGATATCTTACCTTAATATTCACTGTGTATCCTAAAACTAAGGGGGGGGGGATCTCCCTGTAATATAAAGCCCTAAATAAACAGGACAAAAAGACAAAGCAGAAACCAAGTCCCCATATTAATGCCCTATCACACCATTAGCCATTAATAATTTATGACTCACAACAAATACAGGAATGTAGATTAAAAAACCTCCTCATCTTAAAAAAACATTTTTATCCAGATTGAACGAAAAATGAACAAGCCAATGGAAAAGATGCTTTCTATGATTTTCCTTCTTCATGTTTATTTTTTTAATCAGTTAGTACCCTGAAGAGGGCTTTGCTTTTATTAGAAAAAGAGCAATTTGGCATGTTTCACCTGTACCATTTTCATTGCGGTACTAACTTGTGATAAAAATTAAATAAATATAAATACACAAAATAAATATTTTGTAAAAGAGCATTACAAATAGGTCAACTTTGGAGCATGCTGTTGGGGATTCTTATTTGTTCTGCATGTATAAAAACTACACACCCTAGTTTTAAAGATACTGGAAAGGAAAACCGCGTCCTTCAGCATGGGAAGCAAATCCATCCTTTGAACTTCCCACAAGAGTCTGTGCATAAAGAAAACTGGGTTTGAATGAACTAACGGGTTCCCCAGTAACTATTTGCCTGGTTTCCCGATACTTCTTAAAGGGTAATTTATACCCAAATCTTTTTTCTCCCTACTAACTGTTCATTTGGGTGAACATCTTACAGTGCAATCTTATACTTGACTATTCGGAAAAAAGCCCCACTGAATTCAGGAGCACTCCCAGAAAGAG